AGCCCCTGGTAGCACCCTTTTCTCAACTGCCCAGGGGATGATATTGGGAAGGATTTAAACCAGCCCCAGACCAGATCTCTCCTGCGTGATCCACGCCAGTCCCTTGAAAAAACATACACAAGCTTTGACTCCATCCGGAGGGAGCAAAGAGCTGTAATTTTCCACTCACAGAAGCCACTCTCCCCACCATAACTTAACTCATCAGCCTGTTTGTCTCAGGCAAGAAAGAGAATTCAGTATATTCCATGTTCTAACTCCAGGGACCCTCAAGCCCCTAAATGGTCCTTGGAAAGCCCCCTCCCCCTAGGCCTGCATTAGAGGCAAACACCCCTGCTCTCCTCATGGGAGGAGGGACCACAGCTGTCCCCTTTGCCTTCTTGACCCTTTCATCACCTTTATCTGGGTCAGGAGCCCCCACAGGAAGAACCCAAGAGCTATACCGCCGGTTCGTGGCCACCTGCTTCCACTGTGGTCTGGCCCTGTCCTTGGTATATAGAATCCATGGAATTGTGGTGCCTCAGATGACACTTGAGTTTTCAGATTTGAGTAAGGGCTACTGAGGACACCCATAAGTAGGCAGAGAGAGGGAGAGCTTGAATTTAGACAGAGTGGCCAGGAAAGACCTTTCCAAGGAAGGGACACTGGCATTGAAACCTGGTGAATGAGAAGGAGCCAGCCAGAGGGGAGGGCTGGGAGGACACTCAGTATGTGCAAAGTCCCTGAGGTAGGAATGAGAGGGGCGAGGAGCAAAGCAAGGAGAGATGAGGGCTGAGGGGTGGACAGCAGCCAACCATGCGGGGCCTTGCAGAGCTTGGATCTTCATGCCAGAGCTGCAGAAGCCTTGGGGCAGCGGTTCTCAACCTGTGGGTCGCCACCCCTTTGGGGGTGGAACGACCCTTTCACAGGGGTCGCCTAAGACCATCAGAAACACATATTTCCGATGGTCTCAGGAACCGAGACACTGCTCCTCTATCCGTCTCCAGGCGGGTCTGCCCACATGCAGATACACCCACATACAACATGAGGAACTGTATTGAAGGTTGAGAACCACTGCCTTGGGGGGTTTTAAAAAGCAGGGGAGTGACAAGGTCTGAGTAATATATTTAAAAATTAACTCAGGTTGTTAAGTGGAAATTAGATTTTGGTAGAGGTGGAAAGAGGGAGATTGGGATGAGTAAGTGAATGAAGCATAGGCCTGGCTGGTGTGGCTCAGTGGTTGAGTGTCAACCCCATGTACCAAGAGGTCACCGGTTCAGTTCCTGGTCGGGAGACACACCCAGGTTGTGGGCAGGATCCCCAGTGGGGGGCATGCAGGAGGCGGCCAATCGATGTTCTCTTTCATCAATGTTTCTGTCTCTCTCACCCTCTCACTTCCTCTCTCTCTAAAATCAATAAAGAAAAAAATTTTTTTTTAAAGAATAAAGGATGGGTGGATAGATGGATGGATAAAATGGACATTTCTCAAGGCAGATGGGGATCCAAGCCCCAAGAGAGTAAGTAGTTTGTATTTGGGGGGCTCCCAGGAAGGCAAAAGGATTCCAAATCTGTGCAGAGCAGAGGCCGGGTGCTTCATGCAGATCCTGCCTTCTACATTGGGTCTTGAATGTCAGTGATCTTATTTCAACAGCAGGAAATAGCATTTATCATCAACTGAATTCTCGGATGTTCTAAGCATCCCACATTGTCTTTTGTGACCCTCAAAACAGTTCTATTTTACAACTGAGGGAAAAGAGGTCAGAGAGGAGCAGTAATCTTCCCACAACCACACAGCTGACCAGCCCAGGAGCAGAAATTGAACCCCATCTGTCAAATTCCAGAGCCTCCCCCACTCTGCTGCCCACACAGAGCAAGATGGGGTTGTCCGGGGTGGACAAGGCATTCCAGGAAGGGGACACAGCACAGTCAAAGGCCTGGGCGCTGAAAAGGGGCAAAGCCAGGACAAAGAGACCCTCAGCAGTCTGAGGGGAGCTGAGTGATATTAAGAGCAGGGCCGAGGCAACTTGTGGGTGCCAAAACGTGCCAGGCCTACAGAGGCACAGTCGTGCCTGCTGACCCAAGCGAATGTGTGTGGCCGAGAGGCAGGAAGCAGGAGCTGATGCGGGCCCAGGCCCTGGCACTGGGCTCAGGCCTCCTACAGAGAGGTATTGTCCATAGCCAGCAGGCATGGCCAGCTGGGCAGCCTAGGAGGGGGCATTTGCCTCTCTGGCGATGTGCCCATGGGATGTGCAGCGTCCGTCCTGGGAGGCCTCACCTTTCGAAGTTCTAGGTCATAGGCACATTTGCAAACAGAGCCACAGTGTGCCTGGTCAGTTGCCTGCCATGTACCCCTACACCCCGCCCACCCTCCATGATGGCCCAAGACCTTTCTCCAATCCTCAGGAAGCTGGAGTCCTGGGGCTGCCTCCAGGCAAGGATGTGGTTCAACAGAAGCCACAAATATTTTCCTTGGAGACCTTGGCTCAGCCAGAGGCCTCGGCCCAAATGCAAAGGATAACTGCCTAGCCCAGGGTATGAAGGATATAAGGCTGGACTTCCAGACCCACTGTCCAGGTGAGAAGTAGGCTGAGGACTCCGGCGTGTCCAGGTAAAAGTATAGGGAAGGGGCTGGAAGCGTAGGGCACCAGGAAGGTTCTGAGCTGGAGACACCTGTGAGGGTCAAGTCAGAAGCAGGAGAGAGAGTTGGCCCTGAGGTAAGGTCTCTCAGCCGACTAGGACCCTCTGAGGGGGTAGAGAGGTGCTCAGCTCCCTTACCCAGAAGACCAAAGACTGGTCCTGAGGAATAAAAATGTCTGAGTCTTCCTGGCTTCATCCCAATGACATGAACCCATTCTGCACACACCAATTACTCTGTGCCCAGCCTATACTGGGGTGATTCTAGGTTCAAGACATATCAGACAGTTCTGGCCCTCAGGGAACTCCTAATATGGGTCAGTGTGGTATATGCTGTGCTCAAGGAAAGCCCAGGGATACGGTGGTGGAGGGCAGTCAGGGAAGGCTTCCTGGAAGAGGTGACATGTCAGTTGAGAAGCTGAGTAAAAGTTGATTGGACAAAGGAGGAGAGAAAGGCATCCCATGTGAAGGGAACAGCATAAGCAAAGGCCAGGAGGTGAAAAATTATGTGGTGTGTGTGTGTACGGTGCTGGGATTTGGGAAAGAGACATTTTTCCACAGAAACAGAAACATTCTCTTGGTTCCCTGGGTGTTTCTGATCAGAGGACAGAGTGATGTGTGAAGAGAATGGAGGGAAAACAGAGCTAAGATGTTTAAAAAAAAAAGATTATAGAGTGGGGAGTGGGGACTTCCAAAAGAGCAGGGTGCAGGGCGTCATCTCTTTTGTGGCTTTAACTACAAGCTGATTCTTTCTGAACCCAGTATTAGCAACAATAACTGCCATACTCATAACAACTAACATTCACTGAGTTCTTGTAGCGTGCTGGGCCACAGATGGATTGTCTCATTTAATCCTCCCAACCCTGTGACGTAAGTATTATTATCCCTTATTTTATAGATGAGAAAACTGAGGCTCAGATAGGCTAAGTCCCTTGCCCAAGATCACACAGCAAGTGATAAAAGAAGTCCACCAGCTCACGTCCGTCTGACTCTGAGGCCCATGATGTTTCTCCACTAACCCTTAGGCCTCCTGGCCCACAAGGATGGGGGATCCTGTGACTAACAGGGTTCTCTATGGCCTAGACTTTATCAATTTAGCAGGCTCAGATTCCCCATTCTTCAAGGGCTCCCAAAGATCATTCATTCATTCAGGAACCATTTGTTTATTAAACATCCACTGTGTGCCAGGCACTATGCTGGGTGCTGGGGACACAATGGGGAGCCGGTAGAACCAATGCTCCCTTCCAGAGCTCATGGCTTGGTCAGGGAGGCAGATGTTGAATCATTATAGCAAGTGTGTCACAGAGCTCACACTGTTCCAGTTCCCAGAAGACACGTGTCACCCAGATGCCACCTTTGTCTTTAACAGCAAGAAACCCACATGCTGAATCAAGACAGGGTTCAGGTCTCTGGCTCAGCATCTTCCCTCCCTCCAAGCAGGACAGTCCACGGGAGGCAGAAACTTCCACAGGGGTTTGGAGGCTGAGCCAGAATGCAAGCTGGGAGCTCAGCACCAGGTCACAGGTGCCGACGCTCCACCCCATGGAGGGGACAGAGCAGCTGAGGGGCCAGAATACCCCTGCCCTTCTCCCGGGAGACACCCACAGGCCTCTCCCTCTCTCTCTACCTACTCTCCCTGGCTCCAAGTGGCCACCTATTCCTTCCTCAGACCCTTCAGAATTGCAGATTCAGCAAACAGCTTTCCTGCCACTTTGAGTTCTGCCTGAATTCTCATGTCTCTCCTGCCTCCAAACTTCCTGTCCTGGGCACACACCAGCCCCAGAGCAATATTTCTCCAAGTGTGGTCCAGGGTCTCTGGCTGCAGGAGAGAGAAAACTTTACCGAGGAAAGGGACATGGAGGCGAAGTTTGAAAGGATGAATAGGAGTTCAGCAGGTAGATGAGGAAGGGGAAGCACTATAAGAAGAGGGAAGAGCAAGGGCAAAGGTGCAAACCCAGGGGAGAACAGGGTATGTTCTGGGACCTGCAAGCAACTTGGAATGACTGGGACTTTATAGATCAGTAGGTGAATAATAGGAAGTGGAGTTGGCTGAGGTTGGGCCATCGAGGGTTTTAGGTGTTTTCTATGAAGTAGTGCACTATTTCATTATACCCATTTGCCAGAGGAGAAAACTGAGGTACAGAGACGTTAAGTTGATTGTCTAGGCCACACGACTAGCACTGGGCAGCAGAGGCCGGACACAGACCCGAGCAGTCGGGCTCCAAAGCCCACTCTATCAAACACTTCGCTAAATGGCCTCTCCTGGACTCCATCCCCCGTCACCAGGCGTGGAGGACCTGCCCTTGGCCTCTCTTCCTGGCTAACAGGGCCCTTTATGCTCACCCCAGGTTCTGACGCCTGCCACCTGCTGCTACCTGACCCCAAGGAATATGGGCAGCGCAAGGACCTCGGCCCTCCTCTGTGGTGTGCTGGCAGCCACCTTGGTCGGCGCCACCCTCAGCCCTCCTGCAGTTCTCATCCTCGGCCCAGAAGTCATCAGAGAAAGTAAGTCTTCGCTGCCCGGGCTCCAGTGCCATAGGCCATGGGGCAGGTGGAGCAGCTCTCTGAAGGAGGGAGGGAGCTCCCCGTGACTGGAGGTGTGTAAGACACGGCTGGGACCCCAGGTCGAGGTGAGATTCAAGTGGGTGAGTTATAATAGTTGAGAGTGTCTATGATCCCAAGAAACCCTTCTCAAATTCCGTGATTCCAAACCCCAGCTCTCTGAGGCTCTGCCGCCTGCAGGGGGTGTGGCCCTGAGCATGATGCAGCTGCCTCTCCTGTGACCCCTGCCTGAATCCCCAGGGGCAGGGCACCTCCTGAGCCAGAGTCCGTGTGCAGCCAGTCCCCAGAGCAAAGACCCTTGGCTGGGAATCTGGTGGCCTGGAGCCCAGGCACAGCTTTCTCACCCTGGGAACCTCCCTGAGCCTCGGTTTCCTCCTCGGAAAACAAAAAGAGGGCCTGCCCCACCAGGTTATTGGGACTATGCTACAGGACAGGAAGTGACAAGAACTTCATGAACTTTACAGTCGAGTTTCTCAACCCCGGCATGTCTGACCTTGTGGGCCATGTAACTCTCTCGTAGGTGCATCTAGGATGATGTTAGCAGCATCCTCAGCCCAGTTATAACAACCAAAAATGTCTCTAGACATTGTGTCTCTTAGGGGAAAAAATCGTCCAGGTTGGAAACCAACACTCCAAAGTGTTGTCCCCTGAGAGTCCATCTACATACCAGAGGCCATGCCCTGGACCTGGGCCAGGGCTTGGATGAGCGGGTGGGACCAGGTCCTGCAGGGCCACACAGGCGCGGTGGCCAGAGGAGAGAACCCTGAGTAGGGACAGGGAGCAGAGAGTTCTGGGTGCCGTGGGGCCAAGCAGAAGCGCCCTGGGACCATGCTGTGAATCACAAGCACGTGGAGTGGCAGCCAGAAGGAGCTTGGAGATGAGCAACCATGGAGTAGGTCCCCCAGCAGCAGAATCTGAGTTAAGGAGTCGCCTGCAAGGGGTTGGATTCAGAGGTGATGTCAGAAAATACCGGCAGGAGAGCGGGAAATGAGCCAGGCGAGGGCAGGCCAGTTACAACTGGGGCCTGAAGCTCAGTCCTGCTGGGCAACTGTGTTAGTTAGGGCCAGTCAGGAGGCAGAAACCACACGGTTAGTCCAACACATGAGTTTGCACAAAGAATTATGAGCAGGGGATCGGAGTCATGGGGAACTGGCCGAGGAAGAAAATGAAAAGAACTCCAAAGAGGACTGGGGAGGGGAGGCTAACTCAAGGACAGAATAAACTTGGAGGGGGCGAATCCTCCCCAGACCTCATGGGAGGGGTGTGGCTGAAGCCCACTGGATGGCGGGGAAATCTGGGAGTTGTCCCAGGCCAGAGCTGCCCACAGCTGGCTCGCCAAGCCAGTGGGCAGAGGCCTGCCTGCAGGGAGCCGATGGAATTCGCTGGGAAGCTGCCCTCAAGGAAGGGGGTTGCTGCTGACTCACTGGGAAGCCTTCCCCAGGAAACTGCCTGGCCTGGAAGGAGCTGGGGTGCCCACAGTACTCACTAGCTGCCCTGGGGACTGCTGCTGCACTCACAGCCCTGGACAATGACACACAGGAGCCTGGCGAGAAGGGCACACCAGGGCCAGGAGGGGAAGCCCCTTCCTCCTCCGTGGTCCTCAGAGCCTCCACTGACAGGGCTTAAGGTTGCACCAGCCAGCAAAGGAGGACTATTTACAGGGCCCATCTCCGTGATCACAGGGCAGGCAAAAAGGGTGGTTTTGTTGCCGAGAGGCAGTAACCCTCGGGGACTCTGGGGCACAGTGGGGCACACCTGAGTCATCCTGCCCAAGCATTGAGGGAGCTGGGTGTTTACATATCAATTCCTATCAGTCAGCGGACGAGGGCTCTTCCCAAGATCAACTCTTCAGCACTTCTGACCTGCTCTGCACACAAGCCAGACGGGCTCCAGCTGCTGGGGAGAGTCCAGCAGGGACCAGAACCGGGCTCCAGCTCCCAGGCCCCTGACCTTGCCTCCTCCTTTCTCTGCTCAGCACCTGGTACCCTTTGGACAACAGGCCCATAGGATGTGGAAGACAGGGAATTGTTAGAAAGTGTGTTTTGGGCAGCAAAAGAGGCCTAAACAGGGACTTATGGTTCCCTGCCTCTTGGCTCCAAAAGTATCTGCCGCTGGCTGGTGGCTGGTGGGAGGGACGTGAAGGCCAGCAATGCTCAGGGTGTGAATGGTCACCCATGCCCCAGCCTCAATCTTCACGTGAAGATGACCCATCTGGGCCACCATCTGCAAGGCCCTGTCAGGTGGAGATGGTCAGGATGGAACCATCTATACCCTCGCCTTGGGTCCAGGTCCAAGCGGTCCTGAGAGTTGCCCCCACCAAGGCATTCTTCTTGCCCGTCTGCTGGACTCTAATCCCTAGATTCTGTCTCCAGAGACGACACAGGCACTGAAGGACCATGATGCTGTCCGCATCCTCCAGGAGCTGCCTCTGCTCAGCGCCATGAGGGAGGAGCCGGCTGGCGGCATCCCCATACTAGGCAGCCTGGTGAACTCCATCCTGGACCATGTTATCTGGTAAGTGGAGCAGGGCCAAGTTGAGAGCTCCCTGTCTATTCTGCCCAGGACACTTTGCACATTTTTGTTTGTTTGTTTGTTTTTGGTGTGGGTTTGTTTGTTTGTTTGTTTTGTTTTTTAAGTCCTCATCAGAGAATATTTTTCCATTTATCTTCAGATAGAGTGGGAGGAAGGGAGGGAGGGGGAGAGAGAGAGAAATATCAATGTGAGAGAGACACATCAACAGGTTGCCTCCCGCATGACTCCGACCAGGGTCGGGGACCAAAGCGCAACCGAGGTACATGCCCTTGACCAGAATCAAACCCGCAACTCTGGTCTGCGGGCCAATGCTCTAACTGCCGAGCCAAACTAGCCAGGCCACATTTTGCACGTTTAACTGATCAGTCAATAAACAATAATTGGTGTCAATTCTGTGTCTGACTACAAAGAATGGAGCAAATGAAGTCCCTTCCTCGGAAGCTCCAGAGGAGTTAACAACCATGACATTCCCACAGGAGCCCTCATAGAGCGACTCTAGAGGAAGGTCACCTGGGGTGAAAGAGGGTGAAGGGATAAGGTGACACTTCTAAGTCTCGGTGACAGGTGAGCCAGTGACTCCATGCTCACCAGGAGACAAGAAGAAAACAGTATTCCAGGCGGAGGGGCCAGCCTGGGCAAAGGCACAGAGGGGTGAGAGTTGGTCAGAATGGCTGTTGCTCAAACCCCAATGTGAGGACTGGGAGGTCAGTGAAGCCAGGTCACAGAGGGTCTTACAAGTTGGCCCAAGGAGCTGGATTCATCTCCTAAGTAAGGGGGAGCCATAGAAGTGTTGTGAGCAGCAGGGGTGGGGAGCATGGCAAGACTATGCTGGGGAAGAGTCAGTGGACAGGGCTTGGGTCCAGCTGCCGGCTGGCCACCAAGGAGGACAGGAAAGATGGAGAGGAACAGTTTTGTGGCTGATGCTCAGGTGACTCTCATCTCTCCCTCATCCCATCCAGGCTGAAGGTCACCTCAGCCAACATCCTCCAGCTGCAGGTGGAACCCTCTGCTGACAACCAGGAGCTAACAGTCAAGATCCCACTGGACATGGTTGCTGGCTTCAACACGTGAGTATCCTCTCAGTCAAGAGGAGCAGACCTGACGGGTTCATCCCCTTATTCCCCCTTTCCCTCTATGCAGGTATCTGGAAGAGTCCTAAGCAGAGGGAAGAGCAAGTGCAATGACTCTGAGGCAAGAGTACACTTGCTCTGTTCAAAGAATGGCAAAGAGGGGGGGAGAGGAGACTCATGGGAGGTGAGGCCAGCAGGCAGCCAAGGGCACACCACACATGGCCTTGTGGACCAAGGTGAGGACTTAGCTTCTCCAAGTGAGATGGGAGCCATGGAGGTTTCTGAGCAGAGGAGAAACATGACATGTTCAACTTTTTTTTTTTTTTAATCCTCACCGGAGGACATTTTTCCATTTTTTGTTCAGGTAGAGTGGGAGGGAGAGAGAGGAACAGAGAGAGAGAGAGAAACATCGATGTGAAAGGGACACATCGAGTGGCTGCCACCCGCACGACCAACCAGGGCCGGGGACAAACTGCAACCGAGGCACATGCCCTTAGCAGGAACCGAACCCAGGTCTCTCAGGACCGCAGGCCGACGCTCTAACCGCTAAGCCAAACCAGCCAGGGCCATGTTCAACATTTTAAAGAATCCCTCTGGTTGTTGTATATGGAGGCACGAGCAGAGGCAGGGAGGCCGTCCAGAAACTACTGGACTAATCCAGAGGGAGACCATGGTAGCTTGGACCAGCGTGTGGGGCAGGAAGGTGGTGAGAAGCGGTCAGAGTCTGGATATGTTCTGGCGGGAGGTAGAGACAACAGGCTTTCCTGATGATTGGATGTGGGGAAGAGAGACAGATTAAGGAGACAAGACTGACTTCAAGGAGTTTGCTGTGCAACTGGCCGGATGAGTGGCCAGCAACCAAGACCGGGAAGACCAGGAGAGGAGCAGCTTTGTCAGGACCCACAGTTTCATTCTGTACGTGCTAAATTGGAGACGCCTGTAAGATACCTACATAAGAAGTCAGGTATAAGTTTGGAAGCTGTTGACGTATTCAGAGGATTTAAACCAGGAGGGGAATCAAATAACAGAGGCTGGGACGTGCTGGGGTTAAAAAAAATAAAAATGGGGAAATGAGAAGAACCCAGCAAAGGAACCTGAGAAGGGAGGTGAGAGAGCCAGAGGCGGAAAGGGACAGCAGGCTTGCTCCGGCCTGGAGTTGGGGTGGTGCTCACAGCGTTGGGCACTGTCACCCCCAGGCCCCTGTTCAAGAGCATTGTGGAGATGCGCCTGGAGGTGGAGGCCCAGGCCACCATCCGAGTGAAGACCAGCAGCAGAGGTCACACCCAGCTCACCCTCAGCAGCTGCTCCGACAGCCGCAAGAACCTGCGCATCAGCCTGCTGCAGAAGTGAGTGCGGCCACTCCCACCGGGCTCCCACCAGGCCTGGAAGGGAAGCCAGCTGGCGCGTTTGCCCCATTGTGCAGATGGCGAGCACTGATGCCCAGAGAAAGGAACCAACCCTCCCGACTCTTGATCAGGGGCTCCTTTCAGGGAATCTGCGATGGCAAAGAAAGTTCAATACATCAAGGGTAGAGTCCACAGTGATAGGATTTCAGGCATCATGCCAGGCAATGGAGCAAACTTTTAAAGGTGGAGAGGAGCCACCTTCCTAGGGCCCCTCAAACCACCCCAGGCAGGCTAGGGTGGAGCCACGGGTAAAAACCTGCTCTGGAGTCAGGCAGAGAGAAACGTCAATGGGAGAGAAACATCCATCTCCTCATTTACTATCTGGGTGATGCTGGGCAAGCCCCTCCTGGTGCCTCAGCTTCCAGGCTGCAGTAAGAGGTTAGCTCAGGACACCGCTGTCAGTGAGCACTCAGCAGAGTACGTGGCATACCGCAGGGGCTCAAACACGTGGTGCTTCCCTCCACTTCCCCTAGCAGGAGAATGGATATAAATGCCAACTGCCATCAGCCCAGTGTCCAACACAAATGTCTATGACAACCCCCAGCCCTCGCTCCCAGAGAACTCTCTGCCACTGCCTACACCTGACTCAGGGTCCACTCCCAACCCTGTCTCTAACGGGCCATGTAACCTTGGGCAAGTTCCTTTCTCCCCTGGACTCAGTCTCCCCTTCTGTAAAACAAGGGAGGGATGATCATCTCTGACCTTTCCTAATCTATCCCCCTTTCTCCTCTCTGGAAGGCTCTCCTTCCTGGCCAACCCCATAGCCAACAATGTCATGAAACTCCTGGTGCCAACCCTGCCCAAACTGGTGAAAAGCCAGGTGAGTGGAATCAGGACCTCACTGGTCTGTAAAGATTGCATCCCCTGTGGGGCTGGGGTGGAACTGCAGGCTGGTGCTAAGGGACCTGGGCCTGTCTGTCTCTTTGAGTGGGAAACTGGGTCTGGATCATTCTTTCAACAATGGATCCTTGAGGTCAAGGTAAAGGAACTGGCAAAAGTCAGCCAGGAGTCTTTGAACACTGATGTGCTAATAAATTGTTAACTATCGACTCTGGAGAGGTTGAGGAAGGGAACCCAGATTTGCAGCATTTGCTGACTTCTCTGGTGTAAACACTCCCTCCAAGGCCAATGTCAAGCTACTGATGTGATGTTGCTGAGCAGAGTTGGGAAGACATGTGCAGCAGCTCACCACGGCATGGTCTATCCACCACATGGATACAACAGGCATAAATAACCTCAAGAGCAAGAAATAATAGTAAGATATAACAAAATAATTAGGAAGTAATGAGTTTTGAGTTTTCATTAACTTTGCTTTTAGTATAATTTATTTAGTTGTAAGTTTATATACTTCAATTTTTAGTAATGTATTGGTCTGGCACCGGCTCAGAAATTCCTGAAAATTTAACAATTTGCCCTCACGAACCAGTACAAGCTGGCCGGAGGTACCACGTCTCACACTAACCTGGGGGGTTCGGGAGTCTGTCACCCATCAGGTCCTGTTGGGTTTATTTTCCTGAGTCAGTAAACATGAGTCAGTCTCATTTTATATGTCCCTTGTATGCCACAGGTAAGTTAAAACCCTCTAAGTTGATTCATCCACTTTGACCATTGATTTCAAGATATGTTCACAACATATAAATTCCAAGATACGTTCACAACAGAGGGCCTCCTGGGGTTCAAAAGACCTTGTCATATAACTAATTTTTTTTTTACAATAAAACTTTTGAAATGAAAAGAACTAAACAACTCCCAGGAAAAAAATACCCATAATCCTTCTACCTTAACTTGGCAGCTATTTTTTCTTTTGCGTATTGCTGTCCGATGTCCATCCACTGCACGTGTGTTTCTGTGGCTGCGCCCGGTGTCAGCACTACTTTATATTATCTAAGTGATCGATGTTTGCTATGCCATTGTGCAATCTTCATAATCATTGTAATAGCTGCATCGTATTTAATACTTTCCTAAACCATTTCTTCTTAAAGGAATCTGAAAGTTCATAATTTTGTAAAATTTGGCTTTTCTTACATGAGATCATTTTTCTTTTAAGAAAGTTTTTTTTTCTACTTAAAGGTGGGAGTTTCTTTAGAAAAAAAAAAAAGTGGGAGTTTCTTAAAGTAGGACCCAGCTGGAAATTTCTTCCCAGTTTCCATCAAAATCATATTTAAATTGGCACCATACGTTAATTACTTACAAGGTATTTTTACATGTACTTTACATTTACTCAAAAAGATGTGAATCATCCCTTTGTCAGATATCCCCACGCTGCATATGCTCCCCACCCACTAGTCAGTTGGTAACCCTCTCGGTGACTAGCTGGATTGTCATGGTATCACAGTGCGTGTGTTCAAGCAACCCTTATTTTACTTAATATTGGCCCCAACGTGCAAAAGTAGTGATGCTGACAATTCAATACGACTAAGAAAAGCTGTCAAGTGCTTCTTTAAGTGAAAGGTGTGTATGTATAGTGAAAAACATCGTGCATGTAGGGTTGGGTACCATCTGTGGTTTCAGGCATCCATGGGGGGGGGGTGTTCTAAGAATGTATCCCCCGCAGATAAGGAGGGACTACTGTACTGATATCTGGGCTCTACCTCAGAGATTCAGATTGAATTGGTCTGGGTGGGGCCATATTATCCCAGAGGGTTCTGGCTTATATCCCCAAAGATTCTAATGTGTAGCCAGGGTTGACACCCACTGGTGAAATTGAAGGAAGGGGAATTCTGGGATAAGATGCAAAGGTTGCCAGGGACACTGTTCCCATGAAGAACAGGTGGTCCTTTAACAGTGAAGTCTGGGGGTGTCTGAGCCTGAGTCCTCCATCCTCCTGGGTTCTGGGTTGGAAAAGCAGCTAGGAGCAGGAAATGGGTTTTTCCAAAAAAAAGTTAACATTTCTCAACGTGCAATGTCCCTTCTTGAGAGGTAGCAATGGGTGGTCAACCAAAAGTTTCTTCCACTGGGGAAATTGTACCTAAGACAAATGGCAGAGTATCAGAGCACTGCCCTGGAAAATGGGCTGCCTAGAGCAGGAACGAGTTCCTCTGGATCCCACAGGCAAGTAAATGTTTAACCTCCTCTTCGACAGCACGGGTGAGGCCAGGATTAGGTTAGGCCAAGGTTTCTCACCCTTGACACATCAATTGGCTGCCCCCCACTGAGGATCAAGCCCGCAACCCGGGCATGTACCCTGACTGGGAATCAAATCAGTGACCTCTTGGTCCATGGGTTGATGCTCAACCAGTGAGTGAGCCACACCGGCTGGAGTGGACCAGATAATTCTTTATTATGGGGGGCTGTCCTATGTACTGTGGGATGTTTAGTAACATCTCTGGCCTCTATCCTCCAACATTGTGACAACTAAAAATGCCTCCAGAAATGTCCAAATGTCTCCTGAGGGACAAAATTGTTCCCTGATAAGAACTGCTGGCAATTTGGGAGAAGCTAGAAACTCTCAAAGGACACAAAGAGATTGTTCACAGGTCTGGTTTGGTCTGTCTTGCTGGCATCTGTTCTAGAGTCTGACATGCAGAAGGAACTCAAGTAATGACATGTTGAATGAATGAGTGAATGAAGGAAGGACTTCTTCATCTCACTCTCATGGAAAACATGGTCTCTCGGGAACAAGATGAGGAGTCTGAAGGGGAGGGCACCTGGTGAGCCAGGCACAGCCATAGGGCAAGGGACAAACCATTGCAAGAAATCCCAGGTTCACCGGGGGCTGCGGGGGGGGGGGGGAGAGCTCTGAGTAGCAGAGTTGGCTGGGGGAGTGGATGCACCACTGAGTCCTCAACCCCCTGGACAAAAACCTGGATGGCCATGAGTACAGCGGTGGGACTCAGGCCGTGTGGTCCGGGCATGGGTGACTGTGCGACCCCCTTGCTGATGAAACTCCCACATTTGTGCTGTTACAGCTGTGTCCTGTGATTGAGGAGGCCTTTGCGGACCTGCATGAGGACCTCCTACACCTGGTGAGGGGTAAGTGGACTGCTCTCTCCCACCTTTTATCTTTACTGCTGAGCCGACCTCAGGGCCCTGGCTCTGCCCAGGGGGCACCTCCCCAGTCAGGCTTGAGCAGCAGGTGGGAAGAGCAGACTGGAATTCACAATTCTGACTTCACCAGTACCTACTACAGGCAAGTTTCCATGTGAGCCAGCAGGTGCCCCAGATAAACCCAAGTTCAAATCCCAGTTCTACCATTGACTTGTCCCGTGACTATGGAAAGCCAACTCCACCTCCTTGTCCTCAGCGTCCTTATCTGTAAAATGGGATTTTAGTGAGGACTGTTAGTGAGCATTAAAAGTTTACAGGAAAGTTCCAGGCACATAGCAAGGGTTTTGGCTGCACAGAGAAGTGTTTTCAAACACGTGCTGGATGGATGGATGGATGGATGGATGGATGGATGGATGGATGGATGGATGATACAACGACCACTGTGGACTTACAGAAGAGGGAACAAGGGAAGAGACCAGGTGTATACTCAGGAAGGAGGTCTGAGAGTAGCAGAAATGGAAGGTCACAAGCTTCTACCCCCACCTTGAATTTCTGCTGTGCCCAGATGCCTCAGAGTGGGGATTGGCAGGAAGAAGAAAAGTCTACAGTCTGCTCTTTTAGCTCAAAGGGACCACCAGAGGAGTGGGAAGAGGAGGATGGAGTCAGTAGCATTGAGCACCCACAGAGCAAATACTGGGCTGGGTGTCTTATATACACCATCTGGCTGACTCCTCAGACAATACCATGAGGTAGTGATCATTACTCCATTTCACAGATAAGCAAACTGAGGCTCAGAGAAATTAAGTCATTATCTAAGTTCACAGAGAAAATTGGTGATAGGGGAGGATTAAACTCAGTTCTTCACGTTTTAAGTGTGGTGTGATTCAGATTCAAGCCAACTTGACTAGGTACCTGTTCTGTACAACCTATGAGGCCGGTATTACTGTATTACACCCCCATTTTAAAATGAGTAAACTGAGATAGAGGCGATAAGAGACTACCTAAGGCTGCTGTGGCTAGAGCGGAGGTCTATCTGGCTCCTCTGCCCCCCAGGGGTAGGGCAGGAGTTGGGGGTGCAAGCAAAGAGGTAAGAGCAGGCGGTCCAAGGACCTACTCCGCAAGGCCCCTGTGCCTCCTCTCCTCCCCTTCCCATTCTCCACCCAACAGCGAGGGCAGCTGAGACACCACCGCCCCTCATAGTCAAACAGGGAATCCCAAGGCGAGCACGTGCCTGGGTACAGATCAGTCTGGTGGGGAGGTGGAGAGTGACAAGCAACAGGTCCGTTTTGTTCAAACCAGTACATTGGCATAGGACCAGGGGGTTCAAATCTTTTCACACTATGAGCAAATCATTCCACTTTTCTGAGCCTCTTTTTCCTCATTTGTAAAGTGTGAGTAATAATAGGACCTGCCTCCTAAGGTTATTGTGAAAATTAAATGAGCTAACACACGTAAAGGTTTAGCACAGTTTAACACCTGGTATATGTTTAATAAATGTCAGTCATTATCATTCTCATCATTGTCATTATCAACATCATCATTACTGCTGCTCCTCTCTACTTACCCACCCCGTGCAATAACACAGCTCCAGCCAAAAGCTGCCCTTCACCCTCACACAACTTTCTTCTTGTCCCCAAGCAGAGCCCATTTCCTTCGGCAATGACCACCTGGAGTTTGACCTCCTGTCTCTTGCCATCAAGGGTAATGTCATCCAGCTCAACCTGGGGGTGAGTGTCATGGGACCTTGAGAGAAAGTGGGGACATCATTGCCATTCTCTGACCACCCAGGGTCAGACACCATGGGTCTGTTTCAGTGGAGAAAACACTGGTCACGGTGAAGACACAGGCTGATTTAGAAAAATTTCAACAGGCTGAACATGTCCCATGTGAGTCATTTTGATGGGAAAAAACAAAAAACAAAAACAAGCAACAGGTAGAATCTAAGGGCCAAACACGGAACATCGACCCTGGTGATCTGTTCTCCAACCCTGATTTCCCCAGTCTCGAGCCAGGGTGTTTGTGCTGGGGCTCTTGGCCATTCTCTCAGGCAAGCCCCTGCCAATCCCCAAACATCTGGTTACCTTGAAACAAAAGCCCTGGATCAAAACACATCATTGAGAATCACACAGACAAGTTTCTCTCCCAGCTCCACCAGTCCCTGGCTGTGTGATTTGGGGCTAAGCCTGTTTTCTCATCTGTAAAATGTAGATAATCAGAGTCACCGAGGAGAGACTGAAATGAGACTGAAGACTGGCAGGCAGGGGAAGCTGCAGACACACTTGGGCTGGACTCCCTAAGGACCAGGCCAACCTGGGCAGCTTGAATCCCAGATCAATTTTCATGGATCCCTTGGAAAACTGCAGCATCAAACATGTCCATCAATTTTGTTGCAGTTTTTAATTTTCCCTTCATCCAAAGAGTTTGTGAGGAGCTGAAAAGTTGAAACCTAAATGCCAAATAAGACATTTAAGGTTTAAAAAACATCAGAGACTATCTGAGGGGTCCAGGAGGAGTCGAGGTTGCTAGGCACCTGAGATAATTCATCACCTACAACACGGCACTGAATTCCAGGCTAAGCTTCCTGTAAGCAAGTTCAAAAAGGGAAATAGGCTAAGGGATGCTGTTTCCTTTCAGGTTGTTATTGAGTAAGCTGTGGAGTTAAAGTTATGAGTCAACTCTCTGCTCTGTCTTCTTAGGCCAAGCTGTTGAACTCACAGGGAAATGTGACCAAGTGGTTCAGTAAGTCTGCAGCTTCCCTGACACTGCCCGCCCTGGACAGTGCCCCTTTCAGCCTCACCGTGAGGCAGGATGTGGTGAACGCTGCAATAGCTGCCTTGCTGCCTCCAGAAGAACTCATGGTCCTACTGAACTACGTGGTAAGCCGCAACATGGGACAGAGGATGAAGCCATCTCTACTGCATAATGGGAATTTTCTGAACCAAAGGGGCTGCAAAGACCCCTAACTAAGCCTCTGGGCCTGAAGCCCCTGTCAGGCTCAGTTTAAACCCCTCTAGTAATAGAGAACCCCCTCCCCCAAGTCTCTGCCTCTGAGATATTGTTCTAAAGCTGAAACGTTCTCTGTAACATCCAGCCCCCAGTTTGGTTCTGCCCTCTGGAACCTGATACACCTGCTTCATCTACCAAATAACAGTCCCGTTGAACCAAGGGGCGCCTTAGATGCTATGCCGCCACTGTCCACTAGGAGGCCCATAGCAGACATTACTAAGCAATCAGGGTCCTCCACCTTATATAGAGCCTAGATGCCAACACAGTGTTGGAATCCTTATCAACACAGCACGGCAAGCAAGCAACCAACCACCTCTAGTCAGCCAGGGTGTGCCACCTCCTCCAAGGTGACTTATGGGGAAACTGAGGCCCACAGGGGGAAAGCGTTGGCCCAAAGTTATGAGCGGGTATCAGGACTTAAAGTAAGGTGACAGACAACAGATAACAAGGCTCTTGAGGATTAGAACTCAGAGTAAGGGGCTGAGAAGGTGAGAAAAGAGGAGTGGTCACCAGCAACCACATTCATGACTATAGTAAGAATTGGGTCACTTCTCTGTGTCCTCTGGGAGCAGTGAGCTGCCCACAAACCCACAACCATCACCAACCCACAGTAAAAGTCCAGGCCCACCCAGCTTTTCCGGGGTTCTGGGGATCCCATCAGTGAGGCTGCTGGAAGTATGTCTCCTCCCAACCCCCACCTCCAGCTCACCTGCTCTGACTTCCTCTCATCCTCAGCTTCCTGAGCTGGCCCACCGGCTGAAGTCTAGCATCAAGGTGATCAGTGAAAAGGTTGGTCTACTGGCAATCAGCAGCTTGATGGGTGTTTGCTGTGGTCTGTCCACTGGCCTCTGGGGAATAAAAATATGGGTGGGATCACTCAACTTCCTCCCAGCACTGGTGATATTTGACTGGTCCCTATCCTCACGAAGATTTCAGTCCAACAGCACAGATTGACCTGAATCAAATAATTACACAGATAATATTTCAGTTACAAAGGACAGATTCTAAGGGTTATGAGAGCATTCCTGGGGCACCTGATAGAGTCCAGGAAACCAGGGAGGGCTTCCCTGGAGGGAAGGGTATTCCAGACAGAGGGAGAAGCGAAACCACAGGCTGCGCGATGGAGAAAGCAAGAGTCCATTTCAGGATCTGAGCAGACAGTGTTGCTGGAGCACAGAGAGGATGCAGGGAGGCCAGGAAGTTGGGCACGAGCCTGGCCACAGAGGACCTGTGGGCCATGGGGAGGAACTGGGGAGGCCACATGCAGATCTGATGTCCTTCCAGGCTGCGGCTCAGCTGGGACCCACACAGATTGTGAAGATCCTAATCCAGGAGGCCCCAGAGCTCCTTCTGGACCAGGGCAGTGCCAAGGTGGCCCAACTGATTGTGCTGGAAGTATTCGCCACCAACGAAGTCCGCCGCCCCTTCTTCACCCTGGGCATTGTGAGTTCAATTGCCCGTGGATTGGCAACAATCTGAGGGACCTTCACGGTTACTGTTCACCGCTCTTGCTCTGCTAAACGTTTCTACCACACTTGTACACACAGGATTGGAGTATAGGAAGCTCTGAACCCCAAAATCAGGAGCTTTAGGGGCCCAACTCTGACCTTGTGACTTTATTAGTCAGTCAGGCCTTTGTGCTCCCTTTCAGTCAGTTACTGGCCACCGACGGTCCCCAGGGGTAAGAGGGACATAACTCCCCACAAGGCAGCTCTGTTCAAGTAAGAGCACTTCTCCAGAGAGGGGGTGGCTGTGGGCTGTTAGCTGCAGCACTCAGCAGTGGAGGGATGGATGCCCTGCCCTCTGAATGGGGATCTGAATGGGGCACCAACTGCACCCACTACTGAGGCAAAGAGAAGAGAGAGACAGTGCAGGATTTATGCGTGGCTGCTGGAACCATGCTAAACCAAGGAGTCTGGACAGTACCTGGTTGACAGAAGGAGGCTGTTGACACTGTCCTTACAGCAGAGTGCTGCGTACGGCTGGGTGGGTTGTCCACACACATTTCAGGGGTGCCATTCATAAAAGTCTACAGGAGGCACAGTTCCCTAGCTTCCTGTACAAAGATATTCTGCTCCCTGACCAGCAGTGACCTGGCCCCTCCATGGCCAATGGCAGGCTCTTTCTTTGCAAAAGGCCGCCACGCCCAGGCCTGCAGGACAAGTTTGTTCTCTGGGTGCAGCTCACCTAGAGCTGGAGCCTGGCACTCTGTCCTCAGGCTGACCCAGCACACAGGTCAAGTTGATGTATATCTTTGGTGCTTGTATTTGAGACCTGACTTTGCTTCTAACCTTTGTGATAATAATAACAGTTGACATTACCAGGAGGTTTCTGATCTTCTTTGTCCCTCAGTTTCCTCACCTCTACAATGGGATAAAAATCAGTCACTTCACAGGGTTGTGAGGATCAAAGGAGATAATCACATAAACGTCTTACAACTGCCAGACATACAGTGAGGGCTCCATGTGTGTTGGCTGCTGTCATCACCATTCCCCCCAGTCCTATGGGGTTATCTGTTCAGTAGGGAGTGGGTGCAGGCACTATCCCATTTAATAGATGAGGAAAGTGAGGCCCAGAGAGGTCAAACCCTTTCCCAAGGCCGCAGAACCAATACCTGAGATCCAAGTGTCAGCTTGACCCCAGAGCCTCCTTGCAGAACCCCACGCTTGACGCATCTTCTAAAAGAAACGGGGCCTGGACTTCTCTTGTTGCAGGAAGCCAGCTCAGAAGCTCAGTTTTATACCAAAGGGAACCGACTTATGCTCAGCTTAAGTGAAATCAGGTAAATATGTAAATCATTGGGAAGAGTCTGGTGATGAAAATGAGTCCCACCCAGTGACCATTGGCTTTCTTTAAACACACAGTGTTTTGAGTCTCTGGGGTGCGGGCGTCCAGTGAAGGCAGAAAGACTGCCTTACCTGGACTGTCCTGTTGTCGAGGGCTGAGTGTGAGAGACAGAGAAGGGAAGTGGCCCTGCAGCAGCCACGGGCAGGCTGCTCAGCATCATCCGCTCGGCCTGGGCGGCCCTCTCTGGACACCTCCAACACAGAGGCAGTGCCAGCCATGCCCAGGTTCGAAGCCCCCACAGAGCCCAGCACAGATGCACGGGGCTCCAGCTGCTTCTGCACCCCTGCCTGTTCTCCCCCCACCCCACCACCCCCCTGCTGCCCCAGAGGGAGTTCAGGGGCTACAAACTGGAGCCTCCTGGGACAAATCAAGCCCAAATGAATGTGTTTTGATCAGCCCACATAGGGTTAGGTATTTTTAATATAAATGAGTTGCCAACATACAAAAATCAGAATTTCTGCCTGTCGGGGGCCTGCATTCCTACATGGCAGTGAACAGTTGAGCTTGGAATCAGGCATCCCCTTTAGAAAAAGACCAAACTCCCCAGTTCACCATGATCCTCACTCTTAAGGACAATTTTTATGTTCTTTGGGCAACTATTTGTTTTCTCTCTCCCCATCCACCCACAATTACAATGTAAGCTCCATGAAGCAAGAATTCGTCACTGCTATATCGCCAGAGTTTATACTGTGCCTGGTACATAGTAGGGGCTCAATAAACAGTTGTTGAATGAATGAATGAATGAATGAGACTTGGAAGGACCATTCTCATGGGCATCTTTCTGTTGCAGCTCTAATCGGATCCACCTGATGAACTCAGACATTGACTTATTCAATGTGAGTATTAACAGATTGTCCCTGGGAACACAGAATAGCCCAGGATGGTCCGTTTCAAAAGGAGACATTGCACAGACTGTGCTTTCAACAAGCCCTGAGTGGGCTGGCCTGCCTCCACATTATCAGCCACAAAGTCCAAGCTCCTGGTTCAGGCATTTACTGAGCACCTACTGTATGCCAAACATAACCGAGAACACACACATACAGACACACAGATACACACTCACTTTTCTTCTGTGAAGTTTTGACCCAAAATTAGGAAACAAATCTCTTCTCTTCGCAGTCACATAAACTCATCTCAGTGACCCTCTGCAGCCCTTCCCTCTGGTCCTCAGGTTCCTCCTCTGAGCCAGACCTGAAATTGGCTGAATCCTGTCTTCTAACACGGTGTGGGTTCTGGGGGGTTGGTGGGTTTGGTTTTGTTGTTGTTGATGTTTTGTTTTGTTCTGGGAGGTTTTTTGGTCTTTATGGATTTTTTTGTTTTGTTTTTTAATTTTTTTGACTAATATCTTTAAATGGGGAGGTTTCCACATGAAAATCAGGACTTCTGGCTTCCCTTGAGAAGTCAAAACCTCAGGAAGCACAGAGCTAACTTTCCTCCGGGCACATTCTGCTGGAGCCCTTGAGAGTGGGCTCCTTCTGATGCACCCCAATCCCCTCACCACTGGACCCCAGGGCCAGCTGGGTTTGTGCCACCCCCAGGAGCCCTAGCAACTTTGACTGGCAGGGGCTTGGGATTCCAGCATCTCCACCAGCTGTCCTCGCCATGGGTCAGGGCTGTGCCCGTTCTAGGAATGGCCAGGAGGACTTGGGATTCTCAGCCAGGGTAACGGTGCCCCTTCTCTCTCACAGCCTGAACTTCTGAAAGACGTCATCACCGATATCCTCAGCTCTGCCCTGCTGCCCTATGAGAATGGTGCGTCCCTTTTCTCGCCATCCCCCCACTTCCCAGGGCTTCTGGGGTGGGCGCATTGCTTCTCCTGCCTGAGTCTCCATTTGGGGCCCTTTCTTTCATTCCCCCAACCCCCTGCAAATTCCACCTCTCCAGAAAGCATTTCCGGTCACCCAGCTGGAAATGAGCTCTCTCACCTCCAACTTCCTTTACTGGTTCCAGAGCCTAGGCATGCACAGATGAACCAGGCAATGCCCAGCCCCACAGGGATGACAACAGGTGTAAACAGACGACAAGAGCACACTCGACGTGTCTCAGACACCCCTGGTTCAAATCTTGATTTCCCTCTTGCTGGCTGCCTGGTCGTAGATAACCTTATTATACTGAGCCTCAGTTTCTCCACCTGTAAAATGAGGAGATAAGGGTACCTGCAGAAGCAAGAAGGAGATGATGACTGGAAGGGGTGGGTGGGGCTGCCTAGCACAATTGGTCCTCGGCATTTCTCAGCCACTGCTGTTGTGGGCACTGTCATCTGTGTCAGTAGAGAGGAAGCCAAGAGAAAAGGGGAATTGCTCTAATTAAGCCTCGGGTCCTGGGGGTGGGGAAAGTTGATAACCTATGCCACCCTTGCCTTTTGCACGTCTTTATTTGAATGAGAAATCTCGATTTCCACCCTTCTGCTGTGGATGATGGGAGGCCCTGATGGTTCTTAAGCAGGAATGTGAGGGGACGTGAGGGGGCCCTTGGGAGTGTGAGGGGATGTGAGAGGACCCTTGGGAGTGTGAGGGGACGTGAGGGGGCCCTTGGGAGTGTGAGGGGTGCTCTTGGGAGTGTGAAGGGGCCCTTGGGAGCAGCCAGGAGCCCGTGCTGGAGGCACAGGTTAAGGAGATGAAGCTGAGTGGATGCTGGGCAGGAGAACAGATGAGCAGAGGCAAAGGGACAGTCTGAATTGGGCATGCCAGGTCCTGAGCCCCCTCTGAGAACTGTGAGCTTGCCCACAGCTGCCCAGTCCTACCCAAGGCCCACCAGTTTCTGACCATATTTGTTATTTCAGGCAAATTAAGACACGGGATCCTACTGTCAATGGCGAAGGCCTTGGGATTTGAGGAAGCTTCATGGTCTCTGACCAAGGTGAGTGGGGTAAAACATCCGGCCCCAGGGAGGGCACTGGGAGAGCTCTGGGCTGGGCGGTGTGGGCTGTGCTCTAATCCTGGCCCCTCTGGTCACTCAGGAGAGACCTTGGGCAAGTCTCTTCTCTCAGGGCCTCACTTCATCTGTAAGTGGAAGAGGACAACCGTCCTTGCCTGGGGTCAATACACCTCCAGTTTTTTCCACTCTGCCTGTCATTCATTCATTCAGTCATGCATTCAGTAAGGCTTGGCACAGTAGGTTCTCAATAAATCCTTATTGAGCTTATGACCCTCCTTGGCAGCCGCTGGGAAGAGGAGCTATAGCAGCATCCCCCCCCCCCGATATTATCATTAATAATATTTAACAGCTCATAACCATTTTGTGCCAGGCACTGGGGTATAGGCAGCGCCTTGCTCAGTTTTCACAACTACCCCATGAGGTGCATCCTGTTGTAATCCCCATGTTACAGATGGAGAAACTAAAACAGAGAGATGGCAAGCCCGTCTCCAAGGTCATACACCTAGTAAGTGGCAGAGTCGACCTTTGCACTCAGCACCTGCCCTGATAACCCCTTGCTTTGGGCCCCAATCTCTGTGTGAGTCAATGACAGTGAGGTGGTCCCATCTCAACCAGCTGGCCAGCAGGCATTTATTAAGCACCTACTGTGTGCCAGGCACTGATCACAACTGTGAACAAAAAAGACAGAAACCCCTGCCTTCTTGGAGTTCCTAGTCCACCCTAAATGGGGAGAGACTTTAAAAACAGAATTATTAACAACTAATCCCTGGTAGGTGTGACTCCGTGGTTAGAGCATTGGCCCATGCACCAAAAGGTTGCTGGTTCGATTCTGGGGCCCTGGTTGGGGTCATGCAGGAGGTAACCAATCGATGTGTTTCTCTCACATGGATGTTTCGCTTGCTCTCTCTCTCTCTCTCTCTCTTTTTCTCCCTCCCTTTCTCCCCCTCCTTCCCTTCCACGCTTTCTAAAAATCAATGGGAAAAAATATCCTTGGGTGAAGATAAATAACAACAAAAAATAATTATTGCCCTGGCTTGTTTGGCTCAGCAGTTAGAGTGTTGGCCCGCAGACCGAAGGGTCATGGCTTCGATATCCAGTCAAGTGCACGTACCTGAGTTGCAGGTTCAATCTCTGGCCCCTGGTCAGGGTTGTGCGGGACGCAGCCAATCGATGTGTCTCTCTCACATGGACGTTTTTCTCTCTCCCTCCCTCCCACTCAATCTGAAGATAAATAGAAAAATATCCTCGGGTGAAGATTTTTTTTTAAAAAATTCAACATTACCGTATATTTGAAAATGATCATAATAAAATGTTAGGGGAAATCTAGACTAAGTTCTTCATATCACACTTAGTTAAAAAAAAAAAACATGCCAGGGGCTTAGTAATAATTTAGCTAGACCCAACTGGTACAATGAGGAAGCTGCATTTGATGAAACTTTTGGGGGAGGTTTGGTGATCAGCTGGGATTGGGGCAACACTCCTATACAATTCTACACCCTGCACACAGACCCCGATAAGCTATCACTATTCACACAAAGACCCTGCTCCTCTGACCCTTCCAAGAATTCTGTACGAGTGAGTTCAGGGTCATAACCGCCAACGCCAGAGGTCACCTTGTGGAGGACAAACCAGTATAAATCACAAGGCAGAAGGTAAAAACACATTGACTTTTCTCCTCCAATTCCAGGATGCCCTTGTGTTCACCCCGGCCTCCTTGTAGAACTGGACCCCTCTCCTCTCTTCCAGTGAAGACTCGAACAGCGCTCATCCAGGCAAACTGGCTCCCAGTGGGAACCAGCTCTGTGGGTGTCCCTCTCTGCAATAAATAAATAGTTGTCTATGACTTCTGCAGTCTTGAGTGTATCTTTGTCCCAACTTAGGAGTCATTGTGCCCCTAGCAGGCTTGGGGGCTGGACATCCACACCTGAGTCATGTTCAGGCCCTTCTGAGCCAAGCTGGGCCACATCCGAGCTATGTTTGGGCCACATTACACCACATGTGAATACTATACAAGGTCTTGGCCGCCTCCCTGAGCTCGGGAATAAGAAAGCTTGTTATACCCTCCTGCCTTCTGCGTTGGCCTTGAGAGCCCCACTTATGGTGGGACAGCCTCTTGGCCAGGGTCACATGCTTTGATGATCTTGGCAGTGTGGTGGGTGGAGGGCTCTCTGAACATGTGACTGTAGAGGCAGGCTTTGAGTTCTGGCCTGGCCCCCCTCAATGGTTGTTTGACCCTGTGATGTTACTTCCCCTCAGTGGGCCTCACTTTCCTTCTCTATAAAATGTGGAGAATCACCCTGGCTGGTGTGACTCAGCTGGTTGAGCGTCATCCTGTGTACCGAAGAAGTCACCAATTCGATTCCCAGTCAGTGCACATGCCCAGGTTGCACACTCGGTCCCCAGTAGGGGGCGTGCAGGAGGCAACCTATAGATCTCTATCACAGTTGTTTCTCTCTCCCTCTCCCTTCTTCTCTCTCTAAAAAATCAATAAAAACATTTTTTTTTTAATGGGGAGAAAATCATAGTCCCGATCTTGGAGGGCTATCCAAGGATGAATGAGAGAGAACAGTTCCAGACACATGGGAGGTGCTCAGTGTCATCTGTGGGTGATGTCATCATCACTGTTGTTTCCTGGCTTCAGGATGTTGGGTCTTATCACTGAAGGCCCTTCCTGCTTGGACCGCAGCATGACTGCCGTTGTCTCCCTGACCTCCCCAATGTCAGCAAGTTCAGGACAGGCAATAGGGCCCCTGCTCTCCAGACTCCAGGCTGAGCCTCGCACACAGAGCCCTTCAGTTACGCAAGGAGACTTGCAGGAAGGATGGGTGGCACTTCAGGGTCTAAACAGGCATAAGAACAGCTCACAGCCTGGAAAGGCAGCCCAGAAGGAGCTTCTATCTGCAAGACACAGGCTGGGCCAAGAGGGACACAGAGGGCCAGGATAGGACCCGGCACAAGGCGCTCCTACCAGGGTCAGCGAACACTGGCTGGACAGCCGCTGAGCTCCAGGCCCTGTGCTGCAGCTCCCACACACTGTGACTCCAGCCGCATTTAGTGTGCCCTGTGTCCCCACCTCAACTTCCATTCTTTTTCTACATCATATTAAATCTGGGTGTGAACCCCCACTCAGAAGGAAGATTAGAAAGTCAATCGCTATCTTGTCTGGGGTAGGTCTCTTCTGGTTCCTGAGAGTCATACAAGGATCTGTTGAGGGGCTTCCGAGGAGCCTGGAAGATGGGGCAGAGCCTGTGGTCTGGGGTCCCATCTGGTGCTGTGCCAATGAAGGGACCTCTGTCCCAGCTGACACGATCCTGTCAGAACAAGCGACTTCCCACCCAGTCAAGCTGGAGCACCTCTCCCAAACAGCCACGGCCGTGGCTCCCAGGTTCCAACCACCCACAATCTCTGGGGCTTCCTGGAGTTTAGTGGATAAATAGCCCCACTTCCTCACCCCATGGGGGCAGGGAACAACTCCACACTAGCTCCCACAACACCCCAGTGGGACTGAGCCCCAGGTGCCCCTGGAGTCACCTGCTTGATGACACACCTTTATGGGCTGTCTCCTTCCCTCATTTTCTCCCTCCCCTACCAGTGTCTCCTGGGATCACCTCCCAAATCAGCTACCTGCACTCCATCCTTCAGGGGAACCCAAACCAAGACAAACACCTGCTCTGCAGGTACCATGCTAAGGGTCTGACGGACCTGCACCCGCCCAGCCTACAGCACCCCCACTTGACAAATGAGGAAATCGAGGCTCTGACTACAGGACTACCAAGCAGCCCCTAACCATTACCTCACGGTGCTTCCTCTACTCTCTGCAACTGCATCCCCGCCTCTTGGGTCTCCATCTCCCATAAAGGAGAAGGTGTCTTCTGTGCTGGCCTCCTTCCATTCGAGCTCAAACTCACAACCTCCATCCATGTGCCCATGGGGCAGGAGGCCCCAGATCCAGACTCCAAGATCCTACCACCTTCCCAGGCTGGGGGAGGGAAGAGTCCTCTGCTTCTCTCTGAGTCTTATTAGCCACAGGGGGGAAGAAAATAATCACCAAGTAATATCTCAATAACCTCTCCTGCCTAGTAGGAGTTATTACTCTTTGTCTTACAAATGAGAGATCAAGTAACACACAGCCAATGAACCATTGTGGACCCAAGCCTTGGCCACTTGTCCCAGCTTCCCACCTGAATCCACAACAGGACAATGACCCTGTTTTCTTATTCTTCAATATAATAGTGACAACTCACAGCTTCTATTCCCTGAGGACTTCTCAGTTCACAGCACGGTGTTCTGCACTTCCAAATGGGATTAACAGATCCGTTTTACAGGTCAATAAACTGAGGCTCAGAGAGAAGCAATAATGGGTTTTATACCTCTTTGTGTCCTCCCCAGGGCTTCCCTTTTATGGAGGAGACCCCCAAGAAATCTCCTCTCAGCAGAGATTAGTCAAAGAGGTAAAACAGATTCCATGAGGCTCCAACCAAATTCTTCCCTTCTGTCACATTCAGAGAGGCCAGATTTGGGAAGGGAAGGGAGACCTCTGAGCTTCCACCAACATCCTGCATCAGACCCCAGTGACTCAGATGAGGAGATTAATCCCAGAGCCTTTCTCTGCCCCAGGCAGAAGGAAGATAGCATTCGGCCCTAATGGTGAGACCCAATCAACAGAAATGAGGGGGACTGGCCATTTTTTTTTTTTTTATCCTCACCCGAGGACATTTTTCCATTTTTTGTTCAGGTAGAGCGGGAGGGAGAGAGAGGAACAGAGAGAGAGAAACATCGATGTGAAAGGGACACATCGAGTGGCTGCCACGCGCACGACTGACCAGGGCTGGGGACAAACTGCAACCGAGATACGTGCCCTTAGCGGGAACCGAACCCGGGTCTCTCTGGACCGCAAGCCGATGCTCTAACCGTTGAGCCAAACCGGCCAGGGCTTAACGCATCTTCCAACCAAAAATGACACTGAGATTCTAGAATAAGTACATCCCATCTAAAACATGCTCCTGAATCATACTAACATCAGCCATTTGCTTTTGACATTAGCCAAAGTGACAATTTCAGAACCAGCTAACATTAACCTAGCATTTCCTGGGCAGCTGCTGCCTTCCAGAACCTACTCTTCCACCATCCTCTGCCTGGTGTGTCCAGCTGAAAACTGAAGTTTAATACCTGTCCTGATCACATCTCTGAGCTGGGAAAGGGAAAGGAATTAATTACAGGGAGAATCCTGTGGAAAAATCTAGAAGCCACCTGGAGATAAAGACGCCTGCCATCAAAATAACCCCAGTGGACAGCAGTTAATGAAGGAGTCCACGCCGACACAGCCGGCTGCGCACACTCGCAGTGGTGGCGCCAGGATACTCACGTACGAGGACTTTTGCATAGCAGTTTGGTTGGGAGTGAGGACTTGGGGGTCTTGGAGCCATGTTGCTTAGTAACACTGACTTTGCCTTTCACTGGGTAGCCAGTCCGCTCTCTGGGCCCTGATTTCAAATCCAGTTTTGCCTTGGACATGCTGTGTGACCTTGAGAAAGTCATTTAACCTCTCTGAGTCTCAGTTTTTTCATCTATAAAATGGAAATTAAAATAAGTAACTTCTTTTGAACCCTTTCTATGTGCCAAGCCCTATGCTGATGTCTACATGAGTTACTTCAATGATCTTCACAATATCCAAAGGACATATGGATTTATTTTTCCCATTTTGCAAACATGAAAAGTGAGGCTCAGAAGGGAAGGGAAATTGACCACAGTTACACAATTACTGAGTGATGGTGGGGATTTGAACCCGGGCTTGTCTGGCTACAGAGGCATGGCATAGATGACATATGTGTAAAAGCACAGGGAATGGCCCCAAGGTGTTCACCCTGCCTCTGTCCCTCACCTACTCTTCTCCACGCACCCTGCCCGTATATACCCTTACTCCCTTGGGTTCTGTGGCTGGCACATCCTGTATTAGGAGCCTCCTTGGGCCCCTCCCAAGAGCTAAACACCCTGACCAGGCTCTGTATCTCTGATGTTATTCTTAAGGAAAAGGGCCCAGTCCTAAAACTGAAGGCCCCCCCCCTTCTTCCCTGGGGTATGTTGGCTCCAGCCCAGAGCCTGCCCCTTGAGCCTTAGGCTTGGCCCTATCAGTCTTGCCCAAAGCTCCTTGGCTCCCTCTGCCAAGAGAACCCTCCCTCCACTGAACATCTCCTCTGAGCAGCCCCAGCCAAGGGACTGGACTTCCCGCCATGTACCACCCACCTGGGCCTCGGAGTTCAGGTTATAAAAGTGTCTTCTTAGAAGTTAAAGACAGAGACCAGTGAAAGATTCTAGGCAGCCCTATTCTTGGGGAGGTAAGGACAAAGAGGCTAACAAGGGCATTTCTCAAAGGTTTCCTGAGCTCCTACACTAATGTGGTGAAGTGGTGTAGAGATTCTTAGCACCAGGCCAAGCTGGGTTCAAATCTAGGCTCTACCTTCGACTACCTGTGTGATTTCTCCTCTCTGAGCTTCAACTCTCATCTGTAACATGGCCCTGCTGTCAATGTCCCAGACCACTGTGGTGAGGACTCAACCATGTGGTGAAGCTTGGAACGCTCTTGGCGTGGTGTCTGCCACATAGTGGGGACTCAAGAAGAAGTTGGGGCTGGTACGGAAGACAAGGCAATGGGGGAAGAGGATGGGAAGATGCTGTAGTACTATGGGCAGGAAGGGAGGAGGAACCTGACTTGGGTGAACTGATTGAAAAAAGCGCCCGCCATAGGGAATGACTAAACACTGGTTGGATGAACAGCAGGAGAATTGTAAATCAG